TGCCTTTACCCCCCACCCCCAAAGGGAGGAATGCAGTCGCATCCCTTACACCCCAGCCCCAAAGGGAGGAACGCACTGTCACTCTGTGAGCGGGGGAGGTAAAGAGCCCGTTTTTGCTGCGTGCCCAGAGCGTAATTCAGCGTCATCTCTAACCTGGTAATTAAGCACTGAAGATATCCCTATTCCTCAAGGAGGAAGGAGGACAGCTGGAGGGAACACGGCGAAGCAGGGCTCTGCCCCTCCCGGGCGCTGTCCCTGCGCGGAGCCGTTGCTCCAGCACCGAGCCTTCGGCCCATTTTTCCAGCCGCAAAAATGACCTTTACAAGGTCAAGCGCAGCCCATTCCCTCCTGGTCTCGGGGCACAGGTACCCGGCCAGCCCCTGCTTCAGGGACACCCTCAGCTTGTGACAGGAAAGGTAACACCCACCTGGAGGGGGTTAAAGGGCAGGAGAAGGCAGGGGTTGGGGGGGGATGCGGTCTCAGGTGACCGAAGCTGAGCCACTGGAAGGCGATGGCTCGGATTACAAGGACCCGGACGTTTATGAGCAGATTTATAGCGGAATAAAAGCCTCGAGTTACAGGCAGAGACATAAGGAACCAAACAAACCCAGCCTGGCCCCCGCGGCAAGTTTTGTTACCCGAATCAGAGGCCGCTCGCAGCACCGGCCGTGGCTCCTGGATGACCTTCAAGGACAGCTCCTGGCCGGGGTTTTCACACCAGAAAACCCTGTACAAAGCCTTTCTTTAGAAAAACCCTGTAAACCAGGCTCCTTCGAGGGCATTACCTGGGCTGCAGTTTCCAGCTTCCCTGGGAAACTCACGTCTCTGAAGAGTTATGGATATGACAGGTGAGCGAAGTGCGGCAAGGCTCACACAGATTGACCGAACATCCCCGACTCATCGCTACCATCATCAGCCTCGACCACAGCTTTGCTGGTTTTTGCCTTCAGGAAGAATTCTGTTCTCCCAAGTCCACGTAGGGAGAATCCTTCCCTTGGTGAGAATCATCCCAGGAAGAGCCTGGCCACGACCAGCACCAACGAGCCACATGGAGAAAGGGATGCAGACACGCAGTAGCTCTTTGACAGACCTTTATTAGCAGACTGTTCCCTACAGGAAGAATCCCAGTTCGATTTGCATTATAACAATTTGTGGTCACACCTACAGAGATGGTTGTCGTTTTGCATTGATTTTTGCATTCTGATATTCGTATTCCCAGTAGGCCACACCGGTAGGAAGGAGCCGCTGCAGAATTTACGACAGGTCTCGTGAAGGGGGGGTGGAAAAACATCAAATCACTAATCCAGACGGGTCAGATTTCCACGTGGCTAACTACCGCCAGCACGGGAGAGTCACGGCAGAGCCTCACCCGGAAGGCTCCCCGTGAACCAGCAGAATCTGCCAGCAGAAGCGCAGCTGCCGAGCGCTAGCAAACCCTTCCCGACTTCTCGCAGTGCCCGTGGGCGGGTGCAGAGTGCTGCCTCCGCAGCGGCTCCGCTGGTCCAAAGCGCGACCGCAGCAGCTCGTCTCCAAGGGCAAGTTTCCCTCAATCTCTCTGGAAACTTGTATTTTCTTCAGTCCCTGAGATTTCTCCCCTCCCCCCTTACCTAAAAACCCCAAGATCGCTCTCAATTAGCCATTGTGACACCCAACATGCACAGACCTTCTACTTCCCAACTCCAGCCATCCACCTGAAACCCTCCAAGCCACACAGAGGCAATTCCAAAATAAGGCGAGCCTCCCGGTGCACCCCCTTCGCCCCCTCCCCACCTACCGCTTCCTCACCAGCTCCCTTCTCTCCTATGGCTTCTCACTATGGAATTTCTCTGGGCTGAGGTCCTCCAGCAACAACCCCAGGCATGGGAAAGGCAGCTCGAGCCCCCAAGGGAAGGTACGCGAGCGACTTCAGCGTCCCTCCCCACGACTCCGCTGCGTGATGTAAGAGAACAAATAGAGAACTTTTTAAAAGAGGAGAAATACAAGCACAGTAACAATATTTAAACAAGTCTATAAAAATAGTCTGACATAACTCTGTTCAAATAAATACAAAATAAATATGCTTTAAGCAGTAAAACAGTGGAATGCAACGCTGGTCCATTTTGCCCAAAATGAAGAGTTGGATGAGGATCTCCCAGGGCTTGGAAGCCGGATCCCATCCACTAAAGTAGCCCGGAACGCAGTCAGAGAAATTGTAAAGACACCTCT